CTCTCCAAAATGGAGCCACAGAGGGACAGCTCCAAAAAAATATGAAAATGATTAGCTAAAGTATTCCCACAGGACCTCCAACAGGCAGTCTGATTGGAATAGTTGGTCTTTTATTGTGATGGGTCACTTCCGGTCACCTTATTCGGTCACTTCCTGTGGCCGTAACCTGACTGATGTGTTTTATTCAGGTTATTGTGGTTATTGTATTGTGTTGTTGTTCTGATTAACTCAGGTTACTGTACTGTATGGTTGTGTTTGTGTCTAATGGTGATAAGTATTGTTTATATTTGTTGTCTTTTAACTGGTCTCATTTTGTATTGTCATATTTTTCTCAGCTTACGGTTGTGTGTGTGGTGGTGTGTGGTACTCAAACTCTCTCTCGTGTTCCTCTGTATTCGTTGTGTTCTTTCTGTGTTGTGAGGACATGTCTTCTTTTTTTTTTTTGGTTGCGAACCCCAATGGCACGTCTCTCTTGTACCTTTTTCTCATTGTTTGTGTGTTGCACATGGTGGTATTTCTCTGTTGTTGTTTTTTCTCAACAATAAATATGGTTATAATATTGGCTGGCCTTATTTAATTTATGTATAAGAGTGAGTTATAACCAACCTCTTTCATATGGTAGAACTCCAACCCTCCCACTTTAGCTTTATTAATGATTTGGGTTGTAGTTATTTATATTATTTAATTATTAATCTGACTTTTTATGAGACTGATCAATCGATTATTGGCTATCGTTTCCCTTATTTAAGGGTGGTGCCCCGAGGATCTTTAATATTAATTAGAGTCATTTTCTATTATCTTTTGATAATTATAAACTTTGATAACCATTAATTGAATAAACTAATACAGTGTTACCACAGTATCACCCTACAAAGTGGTGCCCTACAAGGCTAACAATAAATATTGATAGTTGTTGCCTGTAACTTGCAATTCGAATACTTCCAGTAGTATTAGTAGTATGAAAAACAGTTGAAATGGTTCAGGTTACAACACTGCCCACTCGGCTGCAGGATGCCACACAAGGTTTTGAGGCTAGGATAATTTCTCATGCAGCTAAACATCATTTAAGTTGTGTGTGTGTGTGTGTGTTTCTGCTAGCAACTGTGTTCTGAACTGTGAAGTGAAGTATTTTAATGTCATTTTGAGATGTTTTATGTTGAATTGACGTACCTCGAGGTGTGCTGTGAGTTATTGTGTCCTCACAGAATACCTCAAGGATCTCAATAGACGTTTATGGACCTGTGATGAGTAACTGTCCTCCGTGTGTGTAGGCTGACTTTTCTATAGAGCTCCTCCGTTGGATCTTCTGGAGCCGTCGTCTGTCTGCCGTCTCACCTTCATCCAGTCTCCGTCTTCATCAACATCACAGTCATCACCTGGGTTGGACATTCACTGGGAAAGAGGGCGGCTTTATTTGCATTTTATTCATTTTTTGTTTTATTTATTTTAACTTTGAAAGTTTTATGAACATTTAAGGTCTGGAAAGATTTTGTTAATATAATTAATATTGTTGTAGACTAGTTCATTTGTTTACTTACTGAACTTGTTGACAGGTAGTCTGGTTACATTTATTTTCACTGGTTTTAACATTCTCATATTCTCGTATTGAATACAATACACTTCCTTTATACGCGGTCAGTCTATTGTTGTTTGGTTTGTTATATATTTTAGTTTTTTGTCTATTAAGTTCATTCACTCTGTGGAAGCGTTTACTGCTGCAGTGCCCAGTAATAATTTATTAAAGCTTGTATGTTTATTTTACTTTAGGATACTGAGAACTACTGTTATAGTTATTGTTACTATTGTACAACATGTGTAAAAAACAATAAACTTTTCATTTAATTTGACTGGTTTTCTCAGCAAATTGTATTAAATTTAAAAAAAAGATTTCTGAATGTAGAAACAAAAAAATGGTTACAACAGGACTCTTTGGTCACAATCAGCAAAGGGGAAAAGGAGCAGATATTCATGAAAAGAACATATACATGGTGGTGGATCTATCCTGTGGCACAGGAAACATCTTTATTTAAAGATATAGTTACTCTAGATGGTTTAACCTTGACCTCCAGCACCATGGCAGGAATCTTCGATCAGGGTTTGTCCTTTAACTCACACATAAAGCAAACCTCCAACACATCCTGTCACAGACGGATGCAGAAAAACTAATCCCTGCATTTGTTACTTCTAGGCTGGATTACTCCTTATTATCAGATTGCTCCAATAAGTCCATTGACAAGAACTATAAAAATAGATCATATTTCTTCTGTATTAGCTTCTCTGAACTGGCTCCCTGTAAAATTAAAACCCTCCTCCTCACCCAACCCATCTTACTAAAATAATAATTATTCTTCAACGTGTTCTTTATATAAACACAGGAGAGAAAACTATTTAGATCAGACTTAACTGAGATAACTGTCAGACTATGTGAATACCTATCTCTTAATGTAATTTAACAAAACCTTTCTTCATTAATCATCATCATTAAACAATCTAAAAATGTCACAGGAGATGTTTTACATTTAGCTGACTTAAATAGAAGGATTTTAAATGCAGGGCTTTTACTTACAGCTAATACAGTATTATTATTATTATTATTTGTACATTAAGTAAAAGTACACAGTATTTATTCAGTAAAGTGCAGAGACAGCTATTTTTTGTTGTTTTGATCAGCTGACCTGCAGCTCCGGCTCGTCACATGACATCCGTTTCCCCCTGTTTCTGTCCGTCAGACTCAGCTGAACTGAGCAACACCAGATAAGTAAACTAACACTGTAAAACAATAGTTTGGTTATTGTTCTGGGTTTTTTTTTGCTGCTTTTTGGCCAAAATATGTGAAGGGAAATGCGGAATGTACGGTCGCCGAACTCGGTTCAAAATACGGTAGTTTGACGTTAGCCTCCCCCGCCTGGCTCCAGTGTTTCTGTGGAAGAAGAGCGACGTGGTGACGGTTGGACAAGTTTAAATCTGACAGGAATCGGGATTGTATTGCGGATTTAGTGTGCGCCGAATTGACAACTGGATTGTACCGAGTCGCAGACATCTTACATATTTCTCCCTGAAGGTATGTAGAAAAAGTCGGGAGCTAAGAAAGTCTTAAATGGATTGTTTCCTGAATGGAGTCTGGCATTGTGCATTTGGCAGATTATACTTTTACTGGAGTAGGATTTTAAATGCAGGAATTTTACTCCTAGCTTCTGTATTAACTTACTTTTACATGAATGGTTTTGTACATTAAGTAAAACACTTCTTCCACCTCTGGCCTGTATACAGTGTTCATACAGTAAACTGCAGACAGAGTTATTCAGTGTATGCTTTCTCTCTGCAGGAATGTAAAGCAGGTCAGAGCAAAGGAAGACTTAAATTGATTAATTTCTGGATGGAGTTTGGCATTGTGTGTTTTCAGGCAGAGCACAGAGTTTCCCCCAAAGACAGCCAGGTAATAATAGTGTACACCTGTGCACAGTTTGACAGTAATTTGCTTATTGCAACATAATATAAAGCCGCCATGAGAGCATAAAGAAGATCAGAGGTCAAAGTCAGCGGCTGCACCTACAGTGATAAGATATCAGATATCATTTAATCCCGCTTCATACTCAGTGAGAGCAGTAAATACAAACTAACTATGGCTAAATGCTTCCACAGTGAGATCAGACACTGAGGACGGACTTCACAGTGAAGGAGGAGACATCTTGTGTTGCTGGAAAACTTTTAGATATGAAACAAAATTGTGTTTCATAGATTATGTAATTTCTGAAGTTGTCAGGCATTGCACATATATAAATATGAACAATAGAAAAGATAAATAAATAGCAAAAGAAAATAAACACAACAAAGAATTAAATTAATTAAATTAGTGGATTTTTAAGGATTTTTATTTGGAAATTATGCTTTTGTGCTATCTGCCCTCGTTTTTAAGCAGCTATAAGCAAACTTTCAAGCGGCAGTGTTTCATTGATTTCAAGAGGAATCCAAGGGCAGTTGTTAAGAATAACCATATAGAAAATAGCCTGAAATAGACTGGTTACAGTTCTTATTGAGCACCGCCTCCACTGAACCCCCAGTTAGAAACTCCTTGTAGTCCGTTTAAATCACAGTTTGAATGCTCACATGTGATATTCCTGCGGAGCGTTTGATTTATTGTGCTGTGTCTCCCGGTCATTCGAAACAGAGCGGGAAGAGCAGACTGTCTCCACTCGTCTGCTGAGAGAGGAAAACATGCCGTCCAACAAATCAGTGTCTGACGCTCCCATCACCCAGTTCATCAACTGCAGGATACTGAGAGACCACCAGCTGCAGAGGTACCGCACACACACACACACACACACACCACACACACACCTCACCTGCTCACACACACACACACCTCACCTGTGTGTGTGTGTGTGTGTGTGTGTGTGTGTGTATGTGCGCAGAGAGGACCTGTGGGTGCGTGACGGGAGGATTTTAGATCCGGAGAAGCTGTTCTTCGATGAGCAGGGTTACGCCGACAAGCATGTGGACTGTGAAGGCAGCATCATCGCCCCCGGCTTCATAGACGTTCAGATCAATGGTACACCTACACACACACACACACACACACACACACACACACACACACACAGCTCTAATTTCAGTTCATCTGCTCCCTGAAAAAGCCTTCAAGTGTCTTGTTTTGGTTCAATCAGCAGCTCAAAAATCCATTAACTATCTAATCAGTTGATCATTTTAATGATTTAAAAAAAAAAAATACCTAAAATTCATTCATTTCAGCCCCTAAAATCTGAATATTTGCTGGTTTACTAGCACCAGCATCTCACAGTCTTTCCAACAATCACTAACTCTGGTTTCTGAAAATAAATCCCTTAATTCACAGAGTTAGCAAAGTAAGATAACATTAAGCTATTGGGACAACTGCGACAGCATTATGGAAAGGATCCCTACAGAGATAGACCTTTAGTTTAACCACAAACAGCCGTAATATCACTATCACTCTCCACCAGACTCCA